AGAATGTGGTGTACAGACAGAAAATCCTGGTGAAGTGTCCATTAAACATGAAGTTAAACCATTTTCAGGCATCCTCTTCCTTCTGCTCTGTAAAGAAAGCCAAGGAATTTATGGCAGGCATCTGGTTTTTCAGATTTGGCGCCAACTGGCCTGTTTTCCCCCCTAGGTCATTGGGTTAATCCTGAAGTGTCAATTCTGATCTTTCCCAACCAGGGTGAGAGACTCCGTGTTTATGGGTCTGTGTGGTTGATAAGCAACTTGTCCTTTTTGGGAAGCGTTAAAGATTCACTATCACCTCCCAAATGGTTGCCTGGGTCGTAAATGGGAACTTAGTGTGCAAACCGTTACTCCCCCATTTCCTGTCCAAACCAGAGGAGCCTGCATTCCTTTGAGGGGTGAATTCAAGGTGGATAGCAGAAAGCAGTTGTCTCATTACACCTTTGGGCTTGCCATCTATCGTGACCAATCAGAATTAAGCAGGGGCGGGACTTCTAGAATCAACCACGTAAATGATTGACATGTGATTGTTGTGTACAAAACCTGTCAGAACTACTGTATGTGTGCAGCTGTAAGAATTTATAGTTGTGCAAAAATACATTTGTTGTACTCAAATGTATGTTTTTATATATATGAATCATTAACTTCTGAGTTTTTTTTAAATTTTATTTTTATGAAAGCTTTGCCCTTATCCTTGAATTGTGAATTGTGATACCCTCAGTCAGGATTTTTTTACTCAGTTTTTTTATTCATCAAATTTTTTCTCAGTTGTTGCTTTTTTGTTTCTCCTAAAATTCACTAGGAGAAATAGTTGAGAATATAGCAGCAGGGTTCTTGTTTGAGACCTAAAGCAGAGAGCTTATTAATGGTTAATTTTATCCCTAAACAAAATGATAATGAGACACAGAGGAAGTGAAGAAACCACCAAAATTAAACAGCAATCCCATGCCAACAATACTACAATATTTGACAAATCACAAAGTCTCCCAAAGTAAAATTTTAATTCTGTTTGATTCAGGCGCCTGCTATCCATCAAAATAGAAAGGAAAAAAAAGATCATTTTAATAACAATAACTTTATTTATATAGCACCTTTAAAAACAGACATTTAATTCATGTTTTTTTTTTTAAATCTTTTTAATCACACATACACATAAAAACATACGAGTGTATATGTGAGTTGATTGTGGGAAGAAACCTGAGCACCAGGAGAAAACTCGGAGAATAATGTTATGAGCTGGACTTGGGGTCTAGCACAGCTGCTGCTGCACTGCTGTGGAAGTCTAAAGTTCTGAGGGTGGGCCGTGGTTTTACGCTTGTGCTTTTTTGTGCTTATTTTTTCAATGTTTAAACTGATGGGGGGAGTTTTTTTTTTCAACTTTTCAGTCAAACATACACACATATGCAAATATAAACATATGTGTGTGTGTGTGTGTGACTTGGTTGTCGGGAGAAACCTGAGCATCCAGGAGAAAACCGCACAGAATAATGCTATTAATTGGAGGTGTTTGAATATGTTAGTGGTCTGGGGATGAGGAGTGTATCAGCCAATGGTTATATTCATTGTGGATGGATGTACCTCCTTTGTCTGAATACTTTTGTTTTTTTGGGCTGGGGTGGGGGACTGGGCTTCAGGTCTTTGGCCAACTGCAGTTTCTGGGTGGTGTAGGTTTTTGGAGTATCATATTTCGTAAAGCCCCCCTGTATGGGGCAGAGCTTATGGGGAAATCTTTGAGTAAAGCACAGCTATCCTGTTTTCGTCTGATTCGACGGGTTTCCCGTGTACTATACCTCAGTAAGGGTTCCCTTGTATCAGCAGCTGTAGGTCCGTCCATGTGTCTGAATGCTTCCGTTTTTTGTCTGGGCTGGGGTGGGGGACTGGGCTTCAGGTCATTGGTCAACTCCAGTTTGTTACATGTCAGCCTTGCTGGTACTCCATTTGCCTTGGGAGTACCTAAGGTAAGGTTGACAATATGTGGAGTGCCTTTGGCCTCAGTTTTAGGCAAAGCTTCTGTGCACTTTGCTCCAGCAGATTCGCAGTGTATGTATGCAGGAGGTGGCGATGAGTTGATAGGTGGGAGAAAGCTCTGTGGCTGATCATCCTTACATTTGTTCTCCAGCCTTGAAGGCGCTTTATTTGTGTTGAGAACAATTCGTCCAGAGGCTCGGGCCTTTTGTAATTCACGCTCAGCATACTCTTTGAACTCTTTCTCCTCAGCAGCTAAAGCTTTTGCTTGCCTTTTTTCAGCTTCCTTGGCCTCCTTTCTCTGCTGTTCCTGAATGGCACGTCTCTGTGCGTGTAATTTGACATTACCATCAGAAAATTGGATGTTTCTTGCCCTCGTAGATTTAGCTTTCTGGCTTTCCCTTTCAAAGTACAACCTGTTGTCCTCTTTCTGGGCCTCAATCAGCTCAAGATCTCTCGGCTTCTCCTCCAGCTGCTTCTGCACCTTTTCACGCATCTGCGCTTCATTGTGAGCTGAAACAGCTTGCAGCATTTGGTCTCTCTTCTCCCCCTGTATTTGTTCCTGTATTTGCTCCACCGCTGCTTGTTTTTTGGCCTCTTCACATACTTTCTCTTCATCCCTGGCCCGACTTTCCTCCTTCTTTTTCTCTTCCTTTTCCAACATACATCTGACCTTATCCATGCAAAACTCCCTCTGCACAAACCGGGGATCTATGTACTCTTTTCTTTGCCAGCATTGCTCTTCTATTTCAGACCGGTCACGTTCTATCTTCCTATCCTTCAAAATGGATTGTTGCTCCCTTTGTTGTTTATAAAAGTTTTTCTCAGCTATATCATCGAGACGACGTTTACGGTTGGCTGCCTTTAACTGAGCTTCTTTTTCAGCTTGATCTTTCTGCTCCTGTGCATACAACTCATCCAGGGCTCGAAGTTCAGCTCTCTCCTCCTCTTTCTCAGCCTGAATCTTCTTCTCTCGCAACAGTCTCTTCTCCTTCACCATCTCCTCATTCTCTTCATCCACTCTGCCCCAGAGTTCCTTTCTCCGAAGAGATTGCTCCTGCTGTTCTCTCAGAACTTGCTTATCATCAAGCACCATCTTCTCTTTGAACTGCCTTTCTTCTTCTTTAGCAATTTTTTGTCTTTCTTGCCGAAGTTTTGATAGTTCCTCATTTTCCTTTCTAATATTTATGGCATCCAGTTGACTGTGAAATCTCCTAACACAGTCTCTTTCTTTGTCGAGAGTTTCATGCTTTTTTCTCTCCTTCTCCTCTGCAATTTGAGTATCCAATGTGGCTTCCCACTCTCGGATCTGTTCTTGGGCCCATGCAATCTTGCGACATTTTGACGTTATTTTGATGTTACGGTAAAATAAAGTCAATGTTTGTACTGAGGCTGTGTACTTCTGCTAATTTCTGAACGACTTATTTCTAAAAACCTTTGTCTTCTCTTCAAATCCCTTTAGAATCCGTGACATCATCACATCAAAGCCGTGACGTCATCAAAGCCGTGACATCATCACATTTGAAAGTGATGTCACTAGGGCTGCAGCTATCGATTATTTTAGTAATCGAGTACTCTATCGATTAATCTGTCGATTAATCGAGTAATCGGATAAGAAATGTTTTGCTCTCACTGTAATACTTTGCATTGAATCACGTTTGCCTCATTAAAAACCATCAGTAACACACAAAACTGAAATAGGCCAGGTCTTTCAAATGAATATTTTTACTGCATAAATCAGGAACCAAAAGTTTTACATTTTACACATCGCACTGATGCCCATCCATGCTTTTCGGTCAAAATCTTAACCGCTGCGACAATGTTGGCACCGTTGTCATGGACAACAGCTTTGATCTTGAGGATTCCTATGACATCATCATATTCCATTTACTATGAGGATTCCGATGACATCACAATTACCTTTGGGCTTGCCATCTATCGTGACCAATCAGAATTAAGCAGGGGCGGGACTTCTAGAATCAACCACGTAAATGATTGACATGTGATTGTTGTGTACAAAACCTGTCAGAACTACTGTATGTGTGCAGCTGTAAGAATTTATAGTTGTGCAAAAATACATTTGTTGTACACAAATGTATGTTTTTATATATATGAATCATTAACTTCTGAGTTTTTTTTTAAATTTTATTTTTATGAAAGCTTTGCCCTTATCCTTGAATTGTGAATTGTGATACCCTCAGTCAGGATTTTTTTACTCAGTTTTTTTATTCATCAAATTTTTTCTCAGTTGTTGCTTTTTTGTTTCTCCTAAAATTCACTAGGAGAAATAGTTGAGAATATAGCAGCAGGGTTCTTGTTTGAGACCTAAGGCAGAGAGCTTATTAATGGTTAATTTTATCCCTAAACAAAATGATAATGAGACACAGAGGAAGTGAAGAAACCACCAAAATTAAACAGCAATCCCATGCCAACAATACTACAATATTTGACAAATCACAAAGTCTCCCAAAGTAAAATTTTAATTCTGTTTGATTCAGGCGCCTGCTATCCATCAAAAAAGAAAGGAAAAAAAAGATCATTTTAATAACAATAACTTTATTTATATAGCACCTTTAAAAACAGACATTTAATTCATGTTTTTTTTTTTAAATCTTTTTAATCACACATACACATAAAAACATACGAGTGTATATGTGAGTTGATTGTGGGAAGAAACCTGAGCACCAGGAGAAAACTCGGAGAATAATGTTATGAGCTGGACTTGGGGTCTAGCACAGCTGCTGCTGCACTGCTGTGGAAGTCTAAAGTTCTGAGGGTGGGCCGTGGTTTTACGCTTGTGCTTTTTTGTGCTTATTTTTTCAATGTTTAAACTGATGGGGGGAGTTTTTTTTTCAACTTTTCAGTCAAACATACACACATATGCAAATATAAACATATGTGTGTGTGTGTGTGTGACTTGGTTGTCGGGAGAAACCTGAGCATCCAGGAGAAAACCGTACAGAATAATGCTATTAATTGGAGGTGTTTGAATATGTTAGTGGTCTGGGGATGAGGAGTGTATCAGCCAATGGTTATATTCATTGTGGATGGATGTACCTCCTTTGTCTGAATACTTTTGTTTTTTTTTTGGGCTGGGGTGGGGGACTGGGCTTCAGGTCTTTGGCCAACTGCAGTTTCTGGGTGGTGTAGGTTTTTGGAGTATCATATTTCGTAAAGCCCCCCCTGTATGGGGCAGAGCTTATGGGGAAATCTTTGAGTAAAGCACAGCTATCCTGTTTTCGTCTGATTCGACGGGTTTCCCGTGTACTATACCTCAGTAAGGGTTCCCTTGTATCAGCAGCTGTAGGTCCGTCCATGTGTCTGAATGCTTCCGTTTTTTGTCTGGGCTGGGGTGGGGGACTGGGCTTCAGGTCATTGGTCAACTCCAGTTTGTTACATGTCAGCCTTGCTGGTACTCCATTTGCCTTGGGAGTACCTAAGGTAAGGTTGACAATATGTGGAGTGCCTTTGGCCTCAGTTTTAGGCAAAGCTTCTGTGCACTTTGCTCCAGCAGATTCGCAGTGTATGTATGCAGGAGGTGGCGATGAGTTGATAGGTGGGAGAAAGCTCTGTGGCCGATCATCCTTACATTTGTTCTCCAGCCTTGAAGGCGCTTTATTTGTGTTGAGAACAATTCGTCCAGAGGCTCGGGCCTTTTGTAATTCACGCTCAGCATACTCTTTGAACTCTTTCTCCTCAGCAGCTAAAGCTTTTGCTTGCCTTTTTTCAGCTTCCTTGGCCTCCTTTCTCTGCTGTTCCTGAATGGCACGTCTCTGTGCGTGTAATTTGACATTACCATCAGAAAATTGGATGTTTCTTGCCCTCGTAGATTTAGCTTTCTGGCTTTCCCTTTCAAAGTACAACCTGTTGTCCTCTTTCTGGGCCTCAATCAGCTCAAGATCTCTCGGCTTCTCCTCCAGCTGCTTCTGCACCCTTTCACGCATCTGCGCTTCATTGTGAGCTGAAACAGCTTGCAGCATTTGGTCTCTCTTCTCCCCCTGTATTTGTTCCTGTATTTGCTCCACCGCTGCTTGTTTTTTGGCCTCTTCACATACTTTCTCTTCATCCCTGGCCCGACTTTCCTCCTTCTTTTTCTCTTCCTTTTCCAACATACATCTGACCTTATCCATGCAAAACTCCCTCTGCACAAACCGGGGATCTATGTACTCTTTTCTTTGCCAGCATTGCTCTTCTATTTCAGACCGGTCACGTTCTATCTTCCTATCCTTCAAAATGGATTGTTGCTCCCTTTGTTGTTTATAAAAGTTTTTCTCAGCTATATCATCGAGACGACGTTTACGGTTGGCTGCCTTTAACTGAGCTTCTTTTTCAGCTTGATCTTTCTGCTCCTGTGCATACAACTCATCCAGGGCTCGAAGTTCAGCTCTCTCCTCCTCTTTCTCAGCCTGAATCTTCTTCTCTCGCAACAGTCTCTTCTCCTTCACCATCTCCTCATTCTCTTCATCCACTCTGCGCCAGAGTTCCTTTCTCCGAAGAGATTGCTCCTGCTGTTCTCTCAGAACTTGCTTATCATCAAGCACCATCTTCTCTTTGAACTGCCTTTCTTCTTCTTTAGCAATTTTTTGTCTTTCTTGCCGAAGTTTTGATAGTTCCTCATTTTCCTTTCTAATATTTATGGCATCCAGTTGACTGTGAAATCTCCTAACACAGTCTCTTTCTTTGTCGAGAGTTTCATGCTTTTTTCTCTCCTTCTCCTCTGCAATTTGAGTATCCAATGTGGCTTCCCACTCTCGGATCTGTTCTTGGGCCCATGCAATCTGCGACATTTTGACGTTATTTTGATGTTACGGTAAAATAAAGTCAATGTTTGTACTGAGGCTGTGTACTTCTGCTAATTTCTGAACGACTTATTTCTAAAAACCTTTGTCTTCTCTTCAAATCCCTTTAGAATCCGTGACATCATCACATCAAAGCCGTGACATCATCAAAGCCGTGACATCATCACATTTGAAAGTGATGTCACTAGGGCTGCAGCTATCGATTATTTTAGTAATCGAGTACTCTATCGATTAATCTGTCGATTAATCGAGTAATCGGATAAGAAATGTTTTGCTCTCACTGTAATACTTTGCATTGAATCACGTTTGCCTCATTAAAAACCATCAGTAACACACAAAACTGAAATAGGCCAGGTCTTTCAAATGAATATTTTTACTGCATAAATCAGGAACCAAAAGTTTTACATTTTACACATCGCACTGATGCCCATCCATGCTTTTCGGTCAAAATCTTAACCGCTGCGACAATGTTGGCACCGTTGTCATGGACAACAGCTTTGATCTTGAGGATTCCTATGACATCATCATATTCCATTTACTATGAGGATTCCGATGACATCACAATTACCTTTGGGCTTGCCATCTATCGTGACCAATCAGAATTAAGCAGGGGCGGGACTTCTAGAATCAACCACGTAAATGATTGACATGTGATTGTTGTGTACAAAACCTGTCAGAACTACTGTATGTGTGCAGCTGTAAGAATTTATAGTTGTGCAAAAATACATTTGTTGTACACAAATGTATGTTTTTATATATATGAATCATTAACTTCTGAGTTTTTTTTAAATTTTATTTTTATGAAAGCTTTGCCCTTATCCTTGAATTGTGAATTGTGATACCCTCAGTCAGGATTTTTTTACTCAGTTTTTTTATTCATCAAATTTTTTCTCAGTTGTTGCTTTTTTGTTTCTCCTAAAATTCACTAGGAGAAATAGTTGAGAATATAGCAGCAGGGTTCTTGTTTGAGACCTAAGGCAGAGAGCTTATTAATGGTTAATTTTATCCCTAAACAAAATGATAATGAGACACAGAGGAAGTGAAGAAACCACCAAAATTAAACAGCAATCCCATGCCAACAATACTACAATATTTGACAAATCACAAAGTCTCCCAAAGTAAAATTTTAATTCTGTTTGATTCAGGCGCCTGCTATCCATCAAAAAAGAAAGGAAAAAAAGATCATTTTAATAACAATAACTTTATTTATATAGCACCTTTAAAAACAGACATTTAATTCATGTTTTTTTTTTTAAATCTTTTTAATCACACATACACATAAAAACATACGAGTGTATATGTGAGTTGATTGTGGGAAGAAACCTGAGCACCAGGAGAAAACTCGGAGAATAATGTTATGAGCTGGACTTGGGGTCTAGCACAGCTGCTGCTGCACTGCTGTGGAAGTCTAAAGTTCTGAGGGTGGGCCGTGGTTTTACGCTTGTGCTTTTTTGTGCTTATTTTTTCAATGTTTAAACTGATGGGGGGAGTTTTTTTTTCAACTTTTCAGTCAAACATACACACATATGCAAATATAAACATATGTGTGTGTGTGTGTGTGACTTGGTTGTCGGGAGAAACCTGAGCATCCAGGAGAAAACCGCACAGAATAATGCTATTAATTGGAGGTGTTTGAATATGTTAGTGGTCTGGGGATGAGGAGTGTATCAGCCAATGGTTATATTCATTGTGGATGGATGTACCTCCTTTGTCTGAATACTTTTGTTTTTTTTTTGGGCTGGGGTGGGGGACTGGGCTTCAGGTCTTTGGCCAACTGCAGTTTCTGGGTGGTGTAGGTTTTTGTAGTATCATATTTCGTAAAGCCCCCCCTGTATGGGGCAGAGCTTATGGGGAAATCTTTGAGTAAAGCACAGCTATCCTGTTTTCGTCTGATTCGACGGGTTTCCCGTGTACTATACCTCGGTAAGGGTTCCCTTGTATCAGCAGCTGTAGGTCCGTCCATGTGTCTGAATGCTTCCGTTTTTTGTCTGGGCTGGGGTGGGGGACTGGGCTTCAGGTCATTGGTCAACTCCAGTTTGTTACATGTCAGCCTTGCTGGTACTCCATTTGCCTTGGGAGTACCTAAGGTAAGGTTGACAATATGTGGAGTGCCTTTGGCCTCAGTTTTAGGCAAAGCCTTCTGTGCACTTTGCTCCAGCAGATTCGCAGTGTATGTATGCAGGAGGTGGCGATGAGTTGATAGGTGGGAGAAAGCTCTGTGGCCGATCATCCTTACATTTGTTCTCCAGCCTTGAAGGCGCTTTATTTGTGTTGAGAACAATTCGTCCAGAGGCTCGGGCCTTTTGTAATTCACGCTCAGCATACTCTTTGAACTCTTTCTCCTCAGCAGCTAAAGCTTTTGCTTGCCTTTTTTCAGCTTCCTTGGCCTCCTTTCTCTGCTGTTCCTGAATGGCACGTCTCTGTGCGTGTAATTTGACATTACCATCAGAAAATTGGATGTTTCTTGCCCTCGCAGATTTAGCTTTCTGGCTTTCCCTTTCAAAGTACAACCTGTTGTCCTCTTTCTGGGCCTCAATCAGCTCAAGATCTCTCGGCTTCTCCTCCAGCTGCTTCTGCACCTTTTCACGCATCTGCGCTTCATTGTGAGCTGAAACAGCTTGCAGCATTTGGTCTCTCTTCTCCCCCTGTATTTGTTCCTGTATTTGTTCCACCGCTGCTTGTTTTTTGGCCTCTTCACATACTTTCTCTTCATCCCTGGCCCGACTTTCCTCCTTCTTTTTCTCTTCCTTTTCCAACATACATCTGACCTTATCCATGCAAAACTCCCTCTGCACAAACCGGGGATCTATGTACTCTTTTCTTTGCCAGCATTGCTCTTCTATTTCAGACCGGTCACGTTCTATCTTCCTATCCTTCAAAATGGATTGTTGCTCCCTTTGTTGTTTATAAAAGTTTTTCTCAGCTATATCATCGAGACGACGTTTACGGTTGGCTGCCTTTAACTGAGCTTCTTTTTCAGCTTGATCTTTCTGCTCCTGTGCATACAACTCATCCAGGGCTCGAAGTTCAGCTCTCTCCTCTTTCTCAGCCTGAATCTTCTTCTCTCGCAACAGTCTCTTCTCCTTCACCATCTCCTCATTCTCTTCATCCACTCTGCCCCAGAGTTCCTTTCTCCGAAGAGATTGCTCCTGCTGTTCTCTCAGAACTTGCTTATCATCAAGCACCATCTTCTCTTTGAACTGCCTTTCTTCTTCTTTAGCAATTTTTTGTCTTTCTTGCCGAAGTTTCGATAGTTCCTCATTTTCCTTTCTAATATTTATGGCATCCAGTTGACTGTGAAATCTCCTAACACAGTCTCTTTCTTTGTCGAGAGTTTCATGCTTTTTTCTCTCCTTCTCCTCTGCAATTTGAGTATCCAATGTGGCTTCCCACTCTCGGATCTGTTCTTGGGCCCATGCAATCTGCGACATTTTGACGTTATTTTGATGTTACGGTAAAATAAAGTCAATGTTTGTACTGAGGCTGTGTACTTCTGCTAATTTCTGAACGACTTATTTCTAAAAACCTTTGTCTTCTCTTCAAATCCCTTTAGAATCCGTGACATCATCACATCAAAGCCGTGACGTCATCAAAGCCGTGACATCATCACATTTGAAAGTGATGTCACTAGGGCTGCAGCTATCGATTATTTTAGTAATCGAGTACTCTATCGATTAATCTGTCGATTAATCGAGTAATCGGATAAGAAATGTTTTGCTCTCACTGTAATACTTTGCATTGAATCACGTTTGCCTCATTAAAAACCATCAGTAACACACAAAACTGAAATAGGCCAGGTCTTTCAAATGAATATTTTTACTGCATAAATCAGGAACCAAAAGTTTTACATTTTACACATCGCACTGATGCCCATCCATGCTTTTCGGTCAAAATCTTAACCGCTGCGACAATGTTGGCACCGTTGTCATGGACAACAGCTTTGATCTTGAGGATTCCTATGACATCATCATATTCCATTTACTATGAGGATTCCGATGACATCACAATTACCTTTGGGCTTGCCATCTATCGTGACCAATCAGAATTAAGCAGGGGCGGGACTTCTAGAATCAACCACGTAAATGATTGACATGTGATTGTTGTGTACAAAACCTGTCAGAACTACTGTATGTGTGCAGCTGTAAGAATTTATAGTTGTGCAAAAATACATTTGTTGTACACAAATGTATGTTTTTATATATATGAATCATTAACTTCTGAGTTTTTAATTTTATTTTTATGAAAGCTTTGCCCTTATCCTTGAATTGTGAATTGTGATACCCTCAGTCAGGATTTTTTTACTCAGTTTTTTTATTCATCAAATTTTTTCTCAGTTGTTGCTTTTTTGTTTCTCCTAAAATTCACTAGGAGAAATAGTTGAGAATATAGCAGCAGGGTTCTTGTTTGAGACCTAAAGCAGAGAGCTTATTAATGGTTAATTTTATCCCTAAACAAAATGATAATGAGACACAGAGGAAGTGAAGAAACCACCAAAATTAAACAGCAATCCCATGCCAACAATACTACAATATTTGACAAATCACAAAGTCTCCCAAAGTAAAATTTTAATTCTGTTTGATTCAGGCGCCTGCTATCCATCAAAAAAGAAAGGAAAAAAAGATCATTTTAATAACAATAACTTTATTTATATAGCACCTTTAAAAACAGACATTTAATTCATGTTTTTTTTTTTAAATCTTTTTAATCACACATACACATAAAAACATACGAGTGTATATGTGAGTTGATTGTGGGAAGAAACCTGAGCACCAGGAGAAAACTCGGAGAATAATGTTATGAGCTGGACTTGGGGTCTAGCACAGCTGCTGCTGCACTGCTGTGGAAGTCTAAAGTTCTGAGGGTGGGCCGTGGTTTTACGCTTGTGCTTTTTTGTGCTTATTTTTTCAATGTTTAAACTGATGGGGGGAGTTTTTTTTTCAACTTTTCAGTCAAACATACACACATATGCAAATATAAACATATGTGTGTGTGTGTGTGTGACTTGGTTGTCGGGAGAAACCTGAGCATCCAGGAGAAAACCGCACAGAATAATGCTATTAATTGGAGGTGTTTGAATATGTTAGTGGTCTGGGGATGAGGAGTGTATCAGCCAATGGTTATATTCATTGTGGATGGATGTACCTCCTTTGTCTGAATACTTTTGTTTTTTTTTTGGGCTGGGGTGGGGGACTGGGCTTCAGGTCTTTGGCCAACTGCAGTTTCTGGGTGGTGTAGGTTTTTGGAGTATCATATTTCGTAAAGCCCCCCCTGTATGGGGCAGAGCTTATGGGGAAATCTTTGAGTAAAGCACAGCTATCCTGTTTTCGTCTGATTCGACGGGTTTCCTGTGTACTATACCTCAGTAAGGGTTCCCTTGTATCAGCAGCTGTAGGTCCGTCCATGTGTCTGAATGCTTCCGTTTTTTGTCTGGGCTGGGGTGGGGGACTGGGCTTCAGGTCATTGGTCAACTCCAGTTTGTTACATGTCAGCCTTGCTGGTACTCCATTTGCCTTGGGAGTACCTAAGGTAAGGTTGACAATATGTGGAGTGCCTTTGGCCTCAGTTTTAGGCAAAGCCTCTGTGCACTTTGCTCCAGCAGATTCGCAGTGTATGTATGCAGGAGGTGGCGATGAGTTGATAGGTGGGAGAAAGCTCTGTGGCCGATCATCCTTACATTTGTTCTCCAGCCTTGAAGGCGCTTTATTTGTGTTGAGAACAATTCGTATAGAGGCTCGGGCCTTTTGTAATTCACGCTCAGCATACTCTTTGAACTCTTTCTCCTCAGCAGCTAAAGCTTTTGCTTGCCTTTTTTCAGCTTCCTTGGCCTCCTTTCTCTGCTGTTCCTGAATGGCACGTCTCTGTGCGTGTAATTTGACATTACCATCAGAAAATTGGATGTTTCTTGCCCTCGCAGATTTAGCTTTCTGGCTTTCCCTTTCAAAGTACAACCTGTTGTCCTCTTTCTGGGCCTCAATCAGCTCAAGATCTCTCGGCTTCTCCTCCAGCTGCTTCTGCACCTTTTCACGCATCTGCGCTTCATTGTGAGCTGAAACAGCTTGCAGCATTTGGTCTCTCTTCTCCCCCTGTATTTGTTCCTGTATTTGTTCCACCGCTGCTTGTTTTTTGGCCTCTTCACATACTTTCTCTTCATCCCTGGCCCGACTTTCCTCCTTCTTTTTCTCTTCCTTTTCCAACATACATCTGACCTTATCCATGCAAAACTCCCTCTGCACAAACCGGGGATCTATGTACTCTTTTCTTTGCCAGCATTGCTCTTCTATTTCAGACCGGTCACGTTCTATCTTCCTATCCTTCAAAATGGATTGTTGCTCCCTTTGTTGTTTATAAAAGTTTTTCTCAGCTATATCATCGAGACGACGTTTACGGTTGGCTGCCTTTAACTGAGCTTCTTTTTCAGCTTGATCTTTCTGCTCCTGTGCATACAACTCATCCAGGGCTCGAAGTTCAGCTCTCTCCTCCTCTTTCTCAGCCTGAATCTTCTTCTCTCGCAACAGTCTCTTCTCCTTCACCATCTCCTCATTCTCTTCATCCACTCTGCGCCAGAGTTCCTTTCTCCGAAGAGATTGCTCCTGCTGTTCTCTCAGAACTTGCTTATCATCAAGCACCATCTTCTCTTTGAACTGCCTTTCTTCTTCTTTAGCAATTTTTTGTCTTTCTTGCCGAAGTTTCGATAGTTCCTCATTTTCCTTTCTAATATTTATGGCATCCAGTTGACTGTGAAATCTCCTAACACAGTCTCTTTCTTTGTCGAGAGTTTCATGCTTTTTTCTCTCCTTCTCCTCTGCAATTTGAGTATCCAATGTGGCTTCCCACTCTCGGATCTGTTCTTGGGCCCATGCAATCTGCGACATTTTGACGTTATTTTGATGTTACGGTAAAATAAAGTCAATGTTTGTACTGAGGCTGTGTACTTCTGCTAATTTCTGAACGACTTATTTCTAAAAACCTTTGTCTTCTCTTCAAATCCCTTTAGAATCCGTGACATCATCACATCAAAGCCGTGACGTCATCAAAGCCGTGACATCATCACATTTGAAAGTGATGTCACTAGGGCTGCAGCTATCGATTATTTTAGTAATCGAGTACTCTATCGATTAATCTGTCGATTAATCGAGTAATCGGATAAGAAATGTTTTGCTCTCACTGTAATACTTTGCATTGAATCACGTTTGCCTCATTAAAAACCATCAGTAACACACAAAACTGAAATAGGCCAGGGGCCTCATGTATCAACACTTGCGTGGAACTCATACCAGAAACGAGCGCACGCAAGGTCCGTAACGCTGAAAAAAATCCGTATGTATCAATGTGTGCGGGCGCCGAAATCCACGTGTGTTTCCTTGATAAATCCCAATCAGCGTGGAATTGAGCGCAGATGTCGGAGTGACTGGGCCCGTCCCCGTTACGCCCTCCTATAAATATGCAGATTTATTTAAATAGGGTCTCCCTGTCCTCGCACGCAGACAAAATGACAAGAAAACCTAAATTTACGGCGTGCGAGGTGGAGGTGCTGGTGGCGGAGGTGGAGGAGCGACAGCGTGTTTTGTTTGGCAGCCTGTCCAGTGGCGTCAGTGCAAAACAAAAACGCTTGGAGTGGGAGAAAGTTTGCGAGAGGGTGAATGCGGTGGGTTCCGAGACACGCACCCCCGCGGAGATTAAAAAAAGTGGTCGGACCTCAAGGTGGAGGTCAAGCGGCGTACAGCTGCCCTCCGGAGGAGTACCGGCCAGACAGGTGGGGGTCCGGGGGAGGAGACCCTCACGCCGTTTGAGCAGCGGGTGGTGGTGATTATTATTATAGGGTAAGTGGCGTGTCACACAAATGTCCACATGCTTTGTCATCCCACTGAGCAAAAGACGTATATTAGACGTCTAGTCTAAGTTTATACTTCATTTCAACGTCTGGATTCAGTCTATTTTTAGACGTGATTTATACTTCGCCCTTAACTTCATTTTTCGATAACTTTTTATGCAATAAACAACTGTAATGTGCATAACTGACCTCGAAATACTGGATTACATTACCTATGATACCGTGGAGAGAGATGTAAACGCAACAGATACACAGAAGCAGGAATTGAAATGAACAAATATTTTTATTGTGTCACAGAAATCAATATGTCGGCCGTGTCGCCGGCTTGCGGAACCCCGGCCCGCGGCAGCCCGTCCGCCGGCTCGGAGTCGTCGGCCAGGACCAGCGGCATTCGGGCCACCCCGGCCCCCGGCCCCAGCACCAGCACCAGCATCAGCACCAGCGCGCCGACAAGCGGTGGAGCGTCCACCAGCCGCGGCGTTTCCGCTGGACCACCCGGACGCAGTGGAAGGGTCCTCGCGAAGGGGGTCCTGCAATCGCAGGAAGAAATCATCAGGGGGATCGCGGGGATCAACGAGCGGCCGGATCGGCTCGTAAATG